GGCGCGAGAGTTTCCGATCGATCGGCCGTCGAGGAAGCGAAAGGATGCTAATTCAGAACGAATTTCTTCGGGTCCTTCCCGCACGAGAAAGGAGCCGCGCGTGGTGCCTTTCCTACCCACGCGGCGCGACGCGTATTGTAACACTTCAAATTTACATACACAAAAATAATTGGAGCGCTATTGCAACAGCATATTCCTGAGACCAAATCAAGTAAAACAAGTCCCGTACTATTTTTCCCTCCGACAAACAGTTATCGAGATATCATAAGTTAAACATTGAAAAAGTTATGAATTTTCTTTTGATATCTCAAAAGGTATTGGGCAAATAAAAAAATGTTTCAGACAAAAGTTGTTCATATTAATTAGTAGAATAAGATAGTGTAACAAACAATAGAGGGTTCCGTTTAAAAAATTGAAGTAGACCTTCACGTGACCTTCAAATGACTATCCAAGGTCAAGTCAATGGCACCACCTTACGTCCCCCTTCGAACCAAACAACTTTTGTTTGAGACGTTTTTCCGCATCCTTCATATTTTTGGAGATATTCGCGTGGATCATTTAAAATGAGACACCCTGTATAATTGAATTATCCGATTATATTTAATCGGATGTTTTTCTCAGTGTAGGCATTTTTTGGGGGGCATTAGGCCTTGCTGGGATATTATAAAGGTAAAATAAGGTATTAGATTAAAAATTATTGGGCTTCACAATTTGCTCGGACCTAAGTAATGTGATTCAGCGTTCCCGTTTCCATTTGATAAAATAAGATAAAACAAGATAAAAGAAGATAAAGTAATGTCCACTGTGCATTATAGTAGGCATTGGTGTACCTGATTTTGGTCAGCGGTGTAGGGGAATCGAAAAAAATTCCGCGATCGCGACCGGCGATTCGACAGCGCGGCGAATTCGGTAATCGATGTCCCGCCAGGGCGAATCATTTAAGCGGCACATGATACTATGTTTCCTACTGGATTTCTTGCAAGAGCCAGTAATAAGGTTGCAGAGTTTCAGTCCAGGTGACTTAATGCTAAATCCTGATTGGCTCTCGTAAGCAATAGGAAAAATAGTATCGCGTGCCGTTGGCTTTAATCTCGAGTATCTAATAGCGAATTCGGTTGCTCGCACTAGTGCGCACTGAGTGCACGCTAAAAGCTTGTTTACAGTCAATTCTTATACTTAGGAATCGTCTTAAATATTTCTTAGCCAGTAAAATGACCTGTATAGCATCCATGCGGATCATTTTTCGGCTAAATACTCTTTGAACGTGCATTTAATAGCGAATTCGGTTGCTTGCACTAGTGCGCACTGAGTGCACACTAAGGCTTGTCTACAGTCAATTCCGATATTTGACAATCGTCTTAAATATTTCTTGAAATATCTCGTAGCCAGTAAAATTATCTGTACAGCATCCGTGCGGGTCGTTTTTTTTTGTTTTTTTGGGGGGCTAAATACTCTTTGAACGTGTATTTGAGAAAAAGTTAAGTATAAAAATCGACTATAAACTGGCCTCAGTGTGCACTCAGTGCGCACTAGCGCGAGCAATCGAATTCGCTATAAGACAAAGTGAAATATAAAAATATGGACTATAAACAAGCCTCGCGCTCGTGTGCACCCAGTGCGCACTAGTGCAAGCAATCGACTTCCTATATAAATGACTCGAGGATCCGCGAGTGTCGTCGCGGGGTGGAGGGTGGGTCCAATTTCTCGCGGAAAGACAAGTTGCGCCGGAACGCCGGGGCGCTCGCGGAGACATATTTTATTCAGCCGGGACGAGATAATTAACGGATCTATGGGACTGGAACGGAGGACGTGGATGCTGCGCGCGGCCCGACTGGTCGAACCGGAGCGAGTGTCCGCGAGGTACCCGGGGCGTGGAAAATGACGCGCGATAAAACCGCGAGGGCGCCGCGCGGCGTCCGATAACGAGGAAAAATCGGTGATCGCCGGCGCCGTTCGTTACGGAAATCGATTTGTACGCACTTCCGGCGGTGTGTACCGAGGCATGGCTCCATTATTTGCAGCCGGTTGCGCGCCGCGATCGGCGCGCAGCCCTACTCGCGCCCGTTATTTCGAGCCTCCGCGATCGCTATCTTAATTGCGGCGCATATACGGGATAATATATTTACAATACTCCGCAATGTACCGCGCAATTAAAAATCGCGATAGTACATCTCTCGCGCCGGCAACTTTCGAGAGCAACTCCTTTGAGGCGCGCGCGCGCTCGCGCTGCTCCGCGATGCCTTAAAAGTCGAACGCTCCGCGTTCCGCGCGGGATTATTTCATCGATCCGGCGCCACGGCGCGCGCGGGAGATATCTTTATCCTTCGGCAGGACGGGCAAGTGTCCGACAGAATTTCCGAGTTGCGTTTCTCCGCGAAATGTGCTCTCGTGTACAAGTACTCTCGCTGTTATGGCGCCATAAACAACCCGGTACGGGCGCGTACCGTGCGGGGGCAGGGAAGAAAGAGACAGAGAGAGTGCGCAAGCTTCCTCCTGCGAGCTAGTTTCTACTCGTAATATCCCGCGCGGTGTGCCCGTGGCTGGTTTTTCATTCGCGTCACTCTATTTACAAATAGTAGCCGTATTAATCGCGGAATCCGCCTCGAGCGCGTGTACATACGTGCCTAAACTTCGTCCCGCTACCTTCCGTCACATTCGGGCGAATCTCTCGGCCCTGGAGGCCTTCATTCTCATTTCGTTATTTTGGCGCAAAAATTTTGGTTACCGGCGATCAAGTCGAAAAGCGGAGCGCTGATAACGCGACGCCCTTCCCTTTAATCCGAGTGTACAGTCTCGTTATCGAAACCGTGTTTAAACGTTCACGTGTAAAACCCCTCACGCGCTCTCATTCCGGTGTATTAATAAACCGACGTATTTTTCTTTTGTGGAGCAACTAATATTAAATTGCTATCGGATACCAATGACGCGTGGCAAACGCGCACGTGTTTTAAAGGGAACAAAGCGGCCGCGTCGTCGCGCGACTCGGCGTAGAAATTAAAGAGAGCCGTGTCTCCTCCCTCGCACCTAAATAACCCCGACGAGACACTTTCTTCGCGACGAAACAGTGTCCCCTGGCCTGTCAGGCTCATTTAAAGCCTCCGACGCGGCCGCTCCGCGCTCCCTTCACACGGGCATTTAACCCTTTAACTCCCGTGGTGCGCGCACACGCGCTCGGCCGACGTTCGGAATATCACGGACACTTTTACGTCCGCTTAAAGTCACGCGGTCCTGCCCCATGACAATTTCACCGATCGCACTACTCCTTATCGATTGCCTGGCGAGACGCCCGGCACTCAAGGGATTAAATATCATTTTCGCGGCGGACGCGAGTCGAGCTCGCGAGCGGTTTCCGAGACGGAGTGTATGTATATACGCGTGCAGGGCGTGACGGATCTCTCCCCTTCGCGAAGACACGAAGCACCTTGCTCCGTTTTTCGGCGAATCGCCCCGAAAACCCGCCACCCTCGCGCGTCCTTGGGCCCACATACCCCGGTCGTCGATCGGGTCGATAGCATTCGTCGGGCACCACGCCGCGTCTCGCCCCCGCCGAGCGAGGACACCTCGAAGGATGCTCGAAGGAGAGGTCGGGAGTCTCGCGAGTTTCGTGCCGACCGCGAGATGGGAAAGAGAGATCGCGCGAGGGCAGGCGGGGGACGGGGAGGAGAGAAAGAGGGATCCGGCGTGCGAGCGGCGGCCGCTGGAAGGGCGGAGGGCTCGTTGTTGTCGGCGGCGGCAGCGGCGGCGGCGGCGGCGGCGGCGGCGGCGATGGCGGGGCACGAGGAAATCGATGCCGACGTCTGGGGCTACGAGAGGAGGTTTCCGCGCGAGGGCTCGGCGGCGCGAAACGGAGCGGACGAGCGAGGGACAGCCTTGCGCGGCGACCTCGCGTCTGTTTTCAAAGGAGAAGGAGGTCAGGTAGACCTCTCTGCGCGTGTAAATGTTACTCACACACTCGGCCTTCGGAGTAGCTCACAACAGTCGCCGCCTCCTCCTCGTCGTCGTCGTCGTCTCGCTTGGTACCGACGTCGCGTACGAGGGTTGAGGCTCCCGGGCGCGGTGATGCGACGCGATAACGTTATCCGGCGGTGACACCGGCAGCCGCTCTCTCTCTCTCTCTCTTTTCCACGCGGTATCCTATCCCGTACGACACTCCGCGCGACACTGCTCCGTGACAGACCGGGAGAGATTACTACCTCGCCTGAGTGGGTGTAGGGCGCCGGAGGAGGGGGCGTCGCATCCGCGAAGAACGTACGAAGAAGGGAAGAAGGATAAAACCAGCCGAAACCACCACCTCGATCTCTCGCTCCGTTCGCGCGGGTGTCTCGAGCCTGACTGACACTCGGCTGCGAGGCTCGCCACCGCTCGACCGACCCCTTCGCACTCGCTCTTTCTCTTCCTCTTTCTCCCCTCTACCTATATCCTCGTCTAGCTACCGCCGTGCCGTCGCCGCGTCTCTCCCTCGCACCGATCGCTATGGTGTTTTCCACGTCCCGCCGCTCTTCGCTCCTCGGGCCACGAGTGGCCCGTAGCGCGTACTCGGTCATGGTTTCCTTCCGTCGACGGCCGTCCGGTGCGTCTTCCGCCACCGACGCCTCCTCGGCGAGAAGCCGGGGATCAGCTTGACACCCCGTGCGCGAGCGGACGAGGTGTCCCTCTCTCTCTCTCTCTCTCTCTCGCGTTTCGGGCCCCAAAGTGCCGGAAGAGAGACCGAGATCCACCCTTCCCGGTCCCGAGATACGGCGGGGATCCGCGCGGGTTTAATTGACGAAGAGGAGCGCGAGCGGGGGATGAATCTGTATTCTTAAGGCCCGGTCTACAATGAGTTGTTAGTCGCTAGTCAGAAGTCGGAACTATATGTCGGTCCTTTTTCTTCCACCCAGAAAGGAAAAGGATCAACATATAGTTGCGACTTCTGACTAACGACTAACGACTCATTGTAGACCGGGCCTAAACGATACTTCCTCCCGGGGACCCGATGTCACGCACAGACGACGAGAGTCTAACCGAGAAAGAAACGCTTGTCCTTTATTGACCTAACAAAGTATGTACATTTCGTAGCGACCGTACGACTAAATTTAAGAGCGCACTTGGGGGAGGGGGGGAAGGGAATCGGACGGACACCCTGACGCGAGTCTTCAGTCGCGGGCCTCGCGCGGGGAGATTAAAGAATTTAATTACCCCGCAGGTGCGGCTGGATGCTCGTTACAATTTCGCATTTTGTATCGCAACAATCTACGCGTACGCGTCCGATAGGCTATTTCCTGAAAATTAATTAACGCGAGATAGGCTGCTTATGCGTATAAATAAACTGGGGGGGGAGATTATGTAAATAAACTACAAACGTGTTCGAAAATGTCGGCGGGATTAATTAATCCGGCGCTTTTTACATGATTCATGTGCAGAAAGTAGCCTCGCATTAATTAGCATCGTTTATATCTGTTGCGATGTATTTATGATAAGAGATATCGATTCGACTGGCAATATCAGTAGTCGAGACGAGTTCTGGGAGATATCAGTAGGTACGTTCGACGTGTCGCGACGCTCTTTAGATGCCTTTCGGATGTCAGCGCCGTACTCTGTGCTCTGCATCCTCGATACGCTAATCGGAAAGTCGGGCGCGAGAAGCGATTGGAGCGGTGGCTCGGGCGACGATCCCGCAGGACGCTGAAATGTTGATCTAGAAAGCGACTTTCTCGTCGGCCTTCTCGTGCGGGATGTCCTCGATCAGCACGCTGTCCGTCGGGACTAGCTTGACCCGATCGGACGGCTTGGGCCTCATCAGGATGAACGGCAGCTCGGCGGTGAGCTCGCCGCCCAGGGCGCCCAGGTAGAGCTTCACCTTAACGGCGTAGGACACGATGATGCCGAAGGAGTCGCGCACGTCCGGCGAGGTGAGCAGGGTGCTGGACGCGAGCTCGCCCTCGTCCCGCTTCATCAGGCCGTCGAGGGCGACGCCGCGGCGTTCCTTGTTGTTCACCAGGGTGGGCTTGAGGTAGAGCACCTTCTGCAGATTCGAGCCGGGGTCGATCGGGCAGCCGTCCTGCGTCTCGATCGCGTCTATCACCGTCCGGAACTGGCCGTTCTGGAAGATGACCACGTCGATGCCCTGCTGCACCAGCGCCTTGATCTTCTTCACCACCTTGTTGCTGTTGTTGCGCACGCACACGTTGATGGCGATCATCTCGCCGTGATGGTACAGCTGCTTGTCCAGGGTGACCTCGAGCTCGAGCTCGCCCGGGCTCATGAGGAAGTCCTTGCGCACCACGGTGCACGGCTGGCGGCCCTGCTTCGTGGGCGCGTACTGGATCTTGCGGACGCCCATGAGGACGGTGCTGCGCTTGTGGGTCACGTCGGTCTCCGTCTCGCCGCAGTACACCTTCACGTAGTAACTCACGCCGCACGGCTCGCCGGTCTCCTCCGGCCCGGGCTGAAGAGTCACGCTGCACGGCGCGCTCTGCGGGAACGCGAAGGTGAAGGGTACCGCGTTCGAGCCCAATTTCTTCAGCAACCTGTTCCAGGGAGACATACCGAATCTTACAGTTTATCCGCAGGCGGCGAGTTTTGTTAGGAAACGGGCAGCTTCGTCCCGCCCGTTTAGTCTCCGGGAATTTTTGAGAACGACGCGAAGGAAGAAATTAAAATTGAAAATCAACTTTGGGATGTTAGACTTTTCAGACGTTGTTAGATGCTGATTGACTCGCGCTTAACTGTTTAACGTGTAACGCACACGTGGGATCATTTCACGCCTCTGGGTATCGTTAATTGGTATTCGTCCTGACCTGTCCTGCAGCTTGGTAGGACTGGATTCAGGCTTCTTCATCTGCGGGAAGATCTGCTCCGACGCCAAGAAGAGATCCTTTTGGAAGTTGAGCCCCATCACCTCGTCCTCCTCGCGGCCGTACCGGAAGCTGCACAGCAGCTGGCACCACACCTTCCTGCCGCTGTCCACGTATTCCGGACTGACCAGGACTACCCCGTCGATCGGCTCGGTGCCGGACAGGTAGTCGATGAAGTCGCGTTTGCCCAGATAGACGGCGAGCTTGCCGTTGGGCGAGCATTTTTTGTAGACCTTGAAGTTCGCCACCATGGTGAAAATTCCCTTGTCTCTTCGGGGAGGACGAGTGGATTCGCTGAGCAATGGCTCGGGCACTTATATACCGGGTATATACAGTGACGCGTGATAGACTTCTAGGGCTTCCTAAGGCGTTTAGAAGCGCGGATGAGACGCCTGAGGTTGCGCTCACGCGACAGTTTTCTACGTTTCCGAGATATTTGTATGGATTATTTATGACGCTTCGCTCATACTTTTGGCGAATAAATAATTTAATTTTCGAGAGTGTCGCGTTGCGAGAGAGAGACAACATTTTCATGAAATATTACTTACAATAATTTCTTGATTTGAGAACATTGTAATTTGTGGTACTATTTTGTAGGTATTTTTACAAAAAAATTAATGTTTCAACGAAGATATAAAAATTTCTACAAATTTCTATTTCAAGTCAACTTTTTGTAGTTATTTATAGAAATTTTTTCGCTAGGGGGGAGAGAGAGAGAGAGAGAGAGAGAGAGACCCTGCCGGAAATAATTCTATAAAAATCTACAAGAAAATTAAATATAACTGCCAGAATCTACATATAAAATTCTACGTAAATTTAAAAAGTGTTATGAAAATCAATATGAAAATGCTAGAATTGGAACACTTTTGTTAATTTCTGTAATATTCTACAAGTAAGCAGATGTTTTAATTCTTTAAGATTTTGTTGTTTCACAAATTTTTAAAACCAGTAAAATTTTGTACTAATTTTTACAAAATTGTACATTTTCATGAAATATTACTCACAATAATTTCTTGATTTGAGAACATTGTAATTTGTGGTACTATTTTGTAGATATTTTTACAAAAAAATAAATGTTTCAACGAAGATATAAAAATTTCTACAAATTTCTATTTCAAGTCAACTTTTTGTAGTTATTTATAGAAATTTTTTCGCTAGGGGAGAGAGAGAGAGAGAGAGAGAGAGAGAACAGCATGACTTCATCCGCGTGTACACGTACGTGTTCTTGCATAATATTGTTTAAAGACAATGATAACGTAACTTCGTGACTTTGGCTCGCCTGATTGATCTTCGAGTTTCTTAGGCTTCACTTCAACGTCGTAGGCTACAGTCTTAGGGCAGTATTATATGTTCTCTCTTTCTCCCTCGCCGAAACTTGTTTACCAAGAAGTGAATTTTCTGCTCGATCGGAAGACGTCCTTTCCTCTGGTTTCACCGTTCTTGTTATTTTACAAAAAAAAACCTCAAAAACTCAAAACAAAATGACAGACACACGTGTCGTTGCGGTATAATCGTTTTCACTTTCTCTTCCCAGTTAAAAATGTAATAAAAAAAGATATGCAGAAAGTCTAGAAACTAGAATTTAAATTTCATCCATAAAACAAAACCAATCAATTAGAAATTGCAAAAAAATATACGAAGGATAATAGAGAAGCATAAATTTTCACATCAAATTATAATTGTATATACACGCATATCTTTTTAGTTAATTTTTGTTCGTCTTGTCTCGCTTTGTATAAAACTTTTATGCAATTTAAAAAAATTAAAAATTCACCTAGAGACCTGAGTGAATTTTTAAAATACGTAAAAGTTATCTCGGCTTGTAATAATGGAGGAAACTAATATTTCAACGACCGATTGTGTTATCGACAGAGCAAGCCATATCTGATAGTTGTATCAGTTTGCGTCGCCCGGACTCGGGACGCATGCTCCGTCCCTCCAGTGCCTTTCTGCATCCTTTTAGAAAGTTCTGGGCGCAGTGAATGTTTTGCAGTCACATGTGGTTGTGATGCACGAAGATGTCGAAGAATTCAGCCGGAGAGAAGCCGCTCTCTGACTCGGATATCATTGACGTCGCGGTGAGTTTATTGCAAATGTTACCAGCGTTTCGATATGTGTGACATTTCGCTTAATCAAAATTAATATAATCCGCAGAGGAGTTACGTTAGTGTCAGAATATAATTAAATAAATGATTTCCACGGTAATCCATGGTAATCCAAAATATGAAGACGACCCTTAAAACTTCAGTGCCTTTTTACATATTTTCTTTTAATTCAAGTACGACATGTGAAGATGACCTTCAGTATTTCAGTTTCCGGTAATTTAAGTGCGCTACGTGAGAGGATGATCTTCAACACCTTCGCATCTCTTTTTAATTTGAGCGCGAAACAAGTTGGCGATACAAGGAAATCACGTAAGGAATTAACAACTAATTTTGTGTGTGACAGATGAAGTCAATGGCTCTGGCTTTACCGCCGGACTCGCCGAAGAAACCCGTGAAATCAAACGCGGTGGTCAAGTACTCTGCGGTCCAGACACCAGCGACGTACGCTCAGTTGCAATGTAACACCGACCTAAACCTGCCGCCCAGCAACTGGCTCAGCAGCACGGTGGAAAGTTACGGTCTGCAAAACGTTTGGTCTCAGAGTACTGGATTCTCCAGCTTTCGCATGGCGCACATGTTCCCCGATTGCGTCGGCGAGGTGGACGTGGTGTCGGACGCGGAGAATATAAAGAAGTTACTTAAGCTGCCTTACAATCACGACGGGATCTCGATGATGGTGCACCGTATCGAAAACACATTGTTGCTCGACAACTTTGACATATACAAGTACCTGCTGAGGCAGGCCGAGAGTGACTGGGAATGGCTGAAGGAGTTCTTCTACGAGCACATTTTCCACAACCTCGGCGACAAGGAGAAGCGCCTCTTTCGCAAGGAGTACAGCAGGAATAGCCTGCAGCAGAGGAACCTAGTTTCCAAGTTTTTGTATCATTCCATAGTGCTGGCTGACAAGAGCAAGGAGTGCGAGAAACCACAGCTGCCTGTGAAAACGTTGGAGCCGTGTTTGCCCGAGCCGACGCAGGAGGAGAAGGAGCCAGATCCGAATTGCAACCACAACTTCGCGCGGAACGTCGTGTGGACGTTCGAGAACATACAGATGCTCGTTGGAACGGACATGCCGATATTCGGCGGTCAGACACATCCGTGCATAAGTCTGCGACTAAGAGACATGACGAAGCCTATCAGCGTCTTAACGGGAATAGACTATTGGCTGGACAATTTAATGTCCAACGTTCCGGAAGTGGTCATGTGTTATCACTTGAATGGTATCGTGCAGAAATACGAGCTGATAAAAACGGAAGACCTGCCAAATTTAGACAATTCAAAGTTCAGTCCCAAAGTGATTCGAGACGTTGCTCAGAACATCTTGAGTTTCCTCAAAAATAATGCAACGAAAGCTGGTCACACTTATTGGTTGTTTAAGGGTGCGTTTTGAGCTTGTTATATAATGACATTGACCGAAAGTGTTTTATATTATGTTATTAATTGTGTCTAATAATTTACATTGGCTGGCAGATGTTTCATTCGTGTGTAACATATTTTTCTCACCAGGTAAGGATGACGATGTTGTGAAGCTATATGATTTGACATCATTGTGCAGCGACGTTTCGGAAGAGAAGGGACAAAATCCCTTCACCGTGCCTGTCGCAATGTTGTTATACAGAGTAGCTCGCAACATGAAATATTCTCCCGACTACCATCGCTACCAGGGTACGATCAGAATGCTGCTGAAAAATTGCGTTCAGTTGCTGGCCAAGGAGAAGTATCCGCAGATCGTTACGTCCGCGCATTTTATGCTCTCCGACTTGTACATACCGTCGGATACAGATCCAGCCAGTCCAGGCCTGTCGGATCAAAGCGACGAGGAGGACGTTCACAGCGAGTGTGGTGCGAGTCAAGAAAACGAAAAGGAGGAGGAGGAGGAGGAAGAGACCTGCGCGATCAAGTCTTTGATTCTGACCAACAGTAAGTAAGCCTGACCTGGATTCCGTTTTTACAACCGTTTTTTAGTGAAAATTAATATCGATCGTTTTTACAGTGAAAGAGCAAGTGGAACGTGAGCAACCAAAGTACAAGGCACCTCCGATGACCGGTACTATAGAAGAGAGATGTCTGTCTGGACTAGAACACGTTACGCACGGACTCGAATGCCTTCAGTATTTCCCGACCGATGACAGCAACGACGAGGAGCAGAAGAAAGCGGAGGAATATGAAAAGGAGAAGCGAAAATATGAGGAGATGCATCCGAACGTAGCGAAACCTTTCCAAGCGATTCCAATGCCTTACACCCCGTTAAATCAACAGGACAAAAGTGCCACGCCCGAAAGAAGCCCGGAGGATCATAGTCCCACGCATAGAAAGAGAAACAAGCAGAGGAAGAAGAAAAGTGAGAAGAACGTTACGAAGGAAGTAGCGAACGTGAACGCTTTGTTGTGTAAACCGAAGACGGAAACCTTGCCAACGTGGCATGCGCCGAAAAAGAGCGACAACATCTGCTGGAACGCCCATCTGAAAACGTTATTATACGAGAAAGCGTCCTTGATATTCGCCGTGCTCGCCGAGAAAGAGTACGTGAATAAGAATTACGGTGCCTCCTTGAGGTACATGCTGGCGGTACTGTACTGCCAGAAGATATTGGAAATTTTCTGCGGTGTAAGAAACGACAAGTCGATCAGTTATCTATTAGGTCGCGCGGGGGACTGTTGCTTTATGGCGGTGCAAGACTGGTACAATGTTGACAAGCACAGAAAGGACTACAATACGAAGAACGAAATGGAGGAGAAAATAGTTGAAGAACTGTTCAGTATGGAGGATTTGGATATGAGTAAATATCGAAATGCATCTTACGATAAAAGAGTTATACGTGAATAAATCGTTACCAATGTGTGTTTCGTTGCAGATGGTGCTGAATTGTTGCCGAACGGATTGGAAAGTCTAGAGTCTACTTTAGTCTCGTCGTATAAATGTTACGAGAAAGCTCTGTCGTTGGAGCCGATGGATAACAAGGATAACTTGTTGAGACGACTGGGGAATATTCACAACGAGTTGGGTGTTCTTTACATGAATCAAGCGGGGTGTACGTAAGCCTGGCATATTTTAACAGGGGGGCAACAAGTACTCGTTCACTGACGAAGAAATTACAAATTGTAGCTCGGTATCAGCAAGCAAATCAAACGGAGCTGTCGAGTTTACCGGACATCACCACGCTTCTAACGCGCTCTCTGACTCACTTGGAGTCCGGCGTTAAAGCCTTCGAGACCGTCCACGACGAGGCGAATCTGGCGCTCTTGCATTCCAACTGTGGCCGGCTTATGCGACTCTGCGCACATATGCACGGCAAAGAGAATGCGCAGGAGCGTCATTTTTACAATAAGGCGCTCGTGAGCTATCAAAAGGCTCTGCAGGTTTTGGGCGAGAGGAAAACTAACCCGGCGATATGGGACACAGTCATGTGGGATTTCTCAACGACGTTGTATACGAAAGCCACGCTATTGCAGGATTATCCTACGGCCGAATACAAAGTACAGTGACTTAACTTAATGCGTAACCTTTTTTTTTATCATTGCATACATGGATTAATAGATTTTTCCCTGTTAAAAATTAAATGATAGGTCAATAAGTAAATTAACGAACTCTTTATTATTGCAGAGTGAAGAGGAATTGGAGAGAGAAATAGTGGATACTTTTCAGAAGGCACTCAAGCACTGTGATATAGATACGCCAGGAACACGTCAGCCGGTTTATCAATTCCGCGCTGCGACCATTCAACATCGATTGGCTTCGTTATACCATCGCATGTACAGAGAGTCCGACTCGGACGCCGATAATAGCAAGAAAAAGACGAATTTGCAGTTGTGCAAATTGTATTACGATAAAGCGGCGAAGCTGTTGCTCTCGTTAGAGCAGAGCACGGAATGTTTGACGGTTCAAATGGAAAGAGTCGCCCTGGCGGAATACCAAGCGCGTAGTACGTACTTTTTTTCTTCTCGCAAAGTTATCATTCTTTCCGTCGTTCGCTTTTCTTTTTGCCGTGACAAAAATTTTGATTTTTTTCAGATGGCACTAATTTCAATAGTAAATTAAAAGCGTACCAAAACGGTCTGGAGTTAATTTTACAATGTACACCTATTATGGAAATTTTATGCGAACGAAGTAATGCGACAAAACCAAAAATACTCGATAATAAAGCGGAGGACGATAACGCCGAGCTTGAGAAAGTGACCGAAGAACAAAAGTTGGTCGAAGAGGAGGAAAACCTCGTAGTTCTATTGGAACAAAGATTACAGTTTCTTTTACTATCATTAACGAAGTTATTCATGAGCAAAAGTCCTATGCATAATAAAAAAGAGTACGTTGCTCTTAAAATTTATATGTTGCAACTAATACTCTAACAATTGTATAAAGGATCATATTTCGGTATTTTTCATTATTTTAATACGCCTTTTTTTATATTTCAGGCACGAGAAGCTCGCAAAGCTGTACAAGCAGTGTTACGTCCATACGTTACGACCGAATGCAATGTCGGGATTTACTTTAGTAAAACACGTGACAAAAATTCTACAAGATCTCGACAATATGTTAAAGCAAATGGAATGTTAAAGTATAAATGAACGCCGTGTACAACTAGTAACTTAGGAAAATGTATATATACGATATGAGAGATTGTTTTTTAACCTTTTAAAATGATACAATGTGTATATAAAGGAAATAAAGGATGTGTATATACAGGAAATAAAGGATACTATATATTCATTGTTATACAATCAAATTGCGATAAAACTGTTGCGAGACCGATCGATCTTTTTTATCTCATCAGTGCAGCTATTGAAAAACACTTTTACCCTAACATGTAAATCCAATCAATCTCGTATAAAACCGAGGTATAGATGGGATTAGAGAAGGAGGGGTCGGGGATTCGACAGAATCCGCCAATTACAATTCAACCGCTCTCACGTAGCCCACGCGTTACCTCGAATTCATAATGAATTAATATTAAATTCCTTCCCCCAATAGTCCCCTTCCGTTTCTTATCAAGCCTAATTAGCATCTAATTTTACCGAGGGTCTTATCTGGCGACAGATTGAGGAGACGTCGGAGTAGCATTTTTAATTAAAATAAAGGTAAGGTCGAAAGGTGAAGTTAAAGCTTAAATCTATTGCCAAGGTCGGGGGTTCCGTACGTGTTCCTCCCGTACGTGCCTCCATGTATCCTTGTCCTCGGAAAGACGGATGGCGGTACGAGAGTTTGAATGAGTCCCGATATATAAGTTTCTGATATATACGAGCAGGCGGGATTGCGCTCGACTCGGCCCGGTCGAGCGAAAACTCGATAAAAAACTCATTTATTAGGGAATACGAGATGAACCATTGTTGCGTGGCCGAGAACCGCCTGGTCCAAGATTAAAGGCAGCGTACCCTGGGGCGAATCACCGCTGTGAACTCGATTGTGCGTATGTATATTGGGAATGTTCCACGTCAGCGAGAGCTCACTACAAGATCGCTTTCATTAAATATCGGATATACAGGGTGTTCCAGGAGGAAAGGTCAATATCCTGGGAGGTGATAGTATCGGTCGTTTTAAGCGAAAATGTTCATATGAATATACGTCCCATTCCCCACTGTTTCCGAGATAGAGCTACTTGAATGTCTCGTGTATCTACTTTTTTTTCTGTACACTTCACCCTTCATCCAGCCTCATAAACGTCCGCGGGAATTTACTCTTATACGTCCGTTGACTGTTTTGCCGATAACACTATAGAAATGTTCAAAATGCCTCGCATATTCACAAATGTCGAATATTGCAGATATTCTGCGATGGTGCCCTAGCGAAAAAAATTTCTATAAATAACTACGAAAAAATTGACTTGAAATAGAAATTTGTAGAAATTTTTATATCTTCGTTGAAACATTAATTTTTTTAAGACGTCTTTCGACGCCCGTCACGGATTGAGGGAGGTCCCAGGTTCGAATCCTGGCTGAGGTAATTTTTCGCAATAAGAACTTTAATTGCCAGATACGGTCAGTAAAAAATCACTGATGTTATTAATTACTGCTGGCCACTTTTAAGAATATTCTTACTAGTTGATTAATTTTTTTGTAAAAATATCTACGAAGTAGTACCAAAAATTGCAATGTTCTCGAATCATAAAATTATTGCAAGTAGTATTTCATGAAAATGTACAATTTTGTAAAAGTACAAAACTTTATGTGTGTCTCACAGAGATCTTTTGTATCTTCGCAAACTGTATGTTGCATGTGGGCGTACTTTTCCGTTCAATTTGAAAGAAACGTCAGCTTTAGTGCGAATCAAGTATAAAGAGTAATCTACAATGTGTTTTTTGCGTCTAGAAACATTCTATTTTGTAGCCAATATATACGTTTAAAAAATTTGTGCGAGTTGATAAATTGTACATTATACATTGCACATTCGTAAATTGCCGACTAATGTTTAAGGGTGTTGATTTGCTTATATAAAATAGAACGTTTCTAGATGCAAAGAGCACATTGTAGATTAGGTTTTAGGCTAAATAGTGATATAACTAATTAACGGTATAAAGAAAACTTTCTAAACTGTATAATATTATATAATAAATATATGTGAGCGAATATATATGTATGTACATATAACTTATATATATTTTTTATATTGATCTAAAAGGCACGCATATAATTTATGCAATATATAAGCGGATAAAATATACACCGAATGGAACGGAACAAGGAGAGGGACAATTCACGTCCAGTTCTAAAATTTTCTCTTTTGCGAGCGATTTTCTTCGACACAATAAGCTTTGCTATCCCAATATATCGACAGAACTCGACAAAGGATTTTCAAATTAAGTATTTACATCATAATACACGCCCATACCTTTTCTACATTTCTGTCGCAGTTGTCTACCGAAATGCACACACGTTCATGTGATTTTTAATCTTGATTTATAAGCCAATGAAGAGAGCACATGACGCTATTCTAACAAATCATATCTTCAGCACCAATTTTACTAAAATTTTATCGATTTCTATAGTGTGCATCGTTTTTATCAATCAAATCTCGATTTAATAAATTATATTAACTTCATCCGCATAGTGAATCCCATAATTTCGCAATAGCGAAGGATTAAACCCGTAGTATCCCCAGTGAGAAATGATTCGTCGATCAATGTCGAAATGGTGTCGAATCGACATCGACACCGTCAAATTGACGTCGATTCGACATCGCTTCGCCATCGATCGACGAGTCATTTCTCGCTGGGTCATCGCTTCGTTTCTTCACCCAAAGAAGCCTCGAAGATCGATACAAATGTCGCGATCGGACATCGATCGACTTTGCTCCTGCAAAAAGAGCCAGTGCTTCCATCATGTTTAATTGCGAAAGTACCGATCTGAGGTTTTCTTTGAGGTTCCGCGATAGGATGCGTTTTTCTGGGGAGCAGGTTGTCAACCTACTGACCAACCCTCAAACTGGAGGGTCAAACCCCAAAGGGGTGCATGTGGCAGAGGATACCATGGTCGCAACTTCCCTCCGGGAGCTATCGTACTCGATTTAAAAGCCTTCTGGTTGCATTTGAACTCTTCGAATCATCAGAGCAGAGAACGTCTCCCTGCGCCACGCTCGCGAGTCCAAACGGATTCCTGCCAAGGACATCCGGTACGCCCGACGAACGCGCGTGCGGCATGCATATCCGAGTAATATACTGCGAATTGTTGCGGGCGGTAGGCAAAGGCAATCGCGCCGGTGCTCTCGCTTGATTAATTTTAACGAAGGTAGGGACCAATCCATCGCACGGACGACAGCGACGGCGGCGGCGGCGGCGGTCGACCGGCCGAAGATCGATGAACTACGAGCGGGTGTCCGTCTGGCCCGCCGAGATATAACAATTCCAGCTGTCAGTCGCATCCCTCACGCTCGAATAGATTCGACTCCGGAAGAGGAGAGGACGGCACCGCCGGAGCGTATGTCAAAGACAAAACAAAAGGAACAGGCGGAAGAGGGTCGGTCGATTCGCCTCCTTCCTGTTTTCATTCCCCCGCCCGTTCCTGATTTCGTACCCTCGCGGAATCCCGGCGGCACGGACCTTCCGGATTCGCCGATGTAAACGGCGGTGTCCCCCCCGGAAACCGACTACCAGAAAGCTCGGCTAAATCGTTGCATAGAAATTCTCGATTCTCTGTTTTTCAGCGTAACCGTTGACCGTCGACTTTATCAGGTGCATGCGATAATTGAATAAAGCGTTGCTTTACTTTCTTTCTCTCGATAAAAATCGGATGGTAAGGAATACCTACATTTATTGAAATGTATGTTTTAATTTGTTTATTATTTTTTAAATTTAAGTTGACAAGCTATTAGGAGCCACCTAACGAATAATTTTCTTGAGTAAAGTAACATGTTTTTGGATTAAGATATTTTTTTTTATCAGTGCATACATTTAACTAGTAGTTTTTTGAAATTTTACCATAGTACTCTCATAAAATTCTCCAAAATGTCAAATCGTCCCACGATCACATGATTTTCAGGATAAATTTTAAGAGAAAATTCTTTCCGTGTAGTAGTACGTGGAAGTCTGTGGCCCCAGTGATCACGAAAGGGTTAAATACATCTTTCGAAGAAATTTCCTTCGAGATGTCATCGAGATCTCGAGATCGCGACATTGCGATTCGGTATCGATGTTGCACGACGTTGCGGTTAAATATCTGCCAAGCGAAGACGCGACCCACCGAAATCCACCATTTTTAATGGAACGTACTTGACGGGGGGGATGACAGGTGTCGCGGAAATGTGCGCTGCGGATAGTTGGGATATATCGCGATTTATTAAAAGATAAACTACGATGTGTAACGATTCGATCGATCATTCGCTTGACATAATATCATCGATTTCTTCGTGATGAACGGCGCTGATAGTCGCCGTCTTTTTGTGGCCGAGAATTGTGAGCGTTAATTCTCCAAGGATAGCAAGATAAATTCGAGAAAAACGTATGTGTAGGAAATAGTATAATAAAAAGGAACTGGAGATGTCTTAAAAATATTACATACATTCCATGAACAGATTCAGACTTGGGACAAGTCGGATAAGTTTGAAAAAATGTTTATAATAAAAAGGAAAAGGTAATTCCGTTTATCGGAATCCCCTCCCTCCAACAAAGATTTTCAAAACTGTAACAGGTTACTCCGCGGAAATTAAATTCCACACATATATATATGAAATATAAAGATATACGCGTGTATATGTTGTGAAATGACATTTTTATCGCGTCTCCCCGCGTCATTTTGCACACCGACTCCTCCCGAGGGATTATTTGAGGGAATTTCTGTTCGGTTGCGACGAATGAAGTCGCGCTTTCGGTAAGAACGCCCTTTTTTTTTATCTTTTCTTCAAGGTTCACCAAAGGTTTTCGCGCGGGGGTATCGCGTTACCCTTGGTTAGTCTTGGGGATGAATCCTCCCCATTTGTCCCCGACGTCGCGTTCGTTATTTGTTCCATCTCGTGGGTCTGGCGAGAGGCGACCTCCCCCTTTCGCCGTGCAAGAGAGGAAACCGTCGCCCGCAGCCGCCGCCGCAAATATTAATCCGCGAAGAAATTCGCCGCGCAGCGGGCCGACCCTGTTCCTCTTCCTCATTCCCTCCTTTCCTCTCGCCTGCCCCATCGCCCCTCGCGCTCTCTCGCGTGCGCGTTTATCCTCCTACCCTCTCTGGATTGAACGCACGCAATTTATGGCCCTGGTACCTTATCTTC